GGCCCGTGGACACCCCCGGGGGGGGGGCCACAACGGCCGCCCCCCTCCGCACACTCGTCGATGTCTGCAGAGGAAGAGAAGCCAGTTACCCCAAGCGGGCGGGGAAAGCATTAAGTCCACGCCGCCTGGCGGCCTCAGCGCAGGGAGTCTCCATTTCCACCGCCTGGCCAGGCGCTCGAGCGTTTCCTCGCCGGGCGCCGGTTTGGCTCGCTCTCCGCCGGGCCTCTCAGCCCCTTTCCTCTGCAAACAATGAGGCGCGAGGGAAGTGCCTGCAGATGTTTGCCAGGGGAAGCCGAGCTCCTGGGAAGAGTTCCTGAGCTCTTCCCCGCACACTCACACATCAGCGTGCTCGGGGAAAGATGCCAGAGCACCCGGATGACTCACCGGCCTCGGGGAAGCGGCTCCCGTGGCTCTCCGCCGGGCCTCTCAGCCCCTTTCCTCTGCAAACAATGAGGCGCGAGGGAAGTGCCTGCAGATGTTTGCCAGGGGAAGCCGAGCTCCTGGGAAGAGTTCCTGAGCTCTTCCCCGCACACTCACACATCAGCGTGCTCGGGGAAAGATGCCAGAGCACCCGGATGACTCACCGGCCTCGGGGAAGCGGCTCCCGTGCGGCGGGACAGTCACCAAGGGCAGAGCCGGGCTCCGAATACCCCGGGGCCCAAACCGTGTCTGTCATTTCCTCCCTGCCGGCAGAAGTGCTGGGAGACTTTCCCCCCGCCTCGAAAAACGGTCTACGGAATTAGAGCAGGATGACGGGCTACAACCTGGCGCTGGGACAAAACCCCCAGCCAAGCTCTCTGCAACGTAGGCCCCAGCACCGCTCGACTCGGGGAACCTCTTCCCAGCCCTGCCCCAGGGCCCAGGCAGCGCGGTCCGGGGGAGATCTAGCACCAGGCCGGAGAATCCGGAGCCCTACATTCTATTGGCCTGAAGAGTCCTGTAGAGCAGGATGACGGGCTACAACCTGGCGCTGGGACAAAACCCCCAGCCAAGCTCTCTGCAACGTAGGCCCCAGCACCGCTCGACTCGGGGAACCTCTTCCCAGCCCTGCCCCAGGGCCCAGGCAGCGCGGTCCGGGGGAGATCTAGCACCAGGCCGGAGAATCCGGAGCCCTACATTCTATTGGCCTGAAGAGTCCTGGCAGACAGGTCACTGCCTCTGCCTCAGTTTCCCCTTTGGTAAAATGGGGGTGCAGCTGCTGTCCTTCCAGGCTGCCCCGCCCTCACTACCGTGGCTCCTCTCCCCTGCTTCCACCGGCTCGCTGCTGCATGGAGCTGGGCGGGCGGAGAAGGGGAAGAGCAGCGGCCGCCGACTAGCACAGCCCAATCAGCAGCCTCCCCGCCTGCCCCCCAGCTCCGCCCTGGCCACGAGGCTCAAAAGGCAGCGCGGGCTCCCCGCCGTGCAGGGGAGGAGGGGTAAGGCTGAGCTCCCTCCCCACGTGCCGCTGAAACTCGGCCGCTGTGCCGTCGATCTAGATGGTGCTTGGTCCTGCCGGGAGGCCTCTCAAGGTCCCTTCCGGCTCTAGCCGTCTGTGAAGTGCCACGAAGAGGGGCAGGGGGAGGAGCGGGGCTGAGCCCCTTGGCAGCTGGCCTGGTGTCCAGGCAGACAGGCCCGAGATGGGCACTTCCCTCTGTTGCTAACCTGCTCTTGGAGGCAGGCCCCGAGCCAGGTCAATTGCCGAGGCAGCCCGGGCCCACGCAGCCAAAATCACCTGTATCTGCTGCTCATGCTCTCCCACCACCTCCCCCGGCCCGATGTTTCCCTGACTCTGTGCACAGGTGTTGTGTTGCATCCTCCCTTATCAGTGCCCTACGGCCAGCCCTCCCGCTGGGGGGCCTGGCAGGTGTCGGGCCTGAGGCGTATTTAGATCGTGCTCATGGGATCACCGGCTTTGGAAATGCTGCCAGCACCTACATGGCACCTAAATAGGCAGAGAGGCACCTGTGCAGACCAGAGCCGTACCTGCGGCGTGCCTCAGTTTCCCCATGTTCGTGACTCTTACCCTGCTTGGAGCTCAGCAGATGGAAAGTTCTGGGTTCCTTCTCCCTACGCGATACCCCTTTCAATCTCCCTTCAGCCGTCCAGGAAGGAGGCACAGAGGAACGCAGGATGGCGTCTTGTAGATCCCCTGGCCTGACCTGCTGTATTAAGCGCCTGTGCTCGGGAAAGGGATCCCCACTTACCCGCGCAGTCTCTGCCATCTCCCCGATAGCCGGCCGTGCACTCGCAGGTGTACTCCAGCCCGGCGCCCGGCTGGCAGCGCGCCGACGTGTCACAGGCGTGGGTGCCGTCGTAACAGGGGTTCACGGCGCTCATGTCGGCCCCACCTAGATTGGCCACAGAGCGAGAGGCAAAGCTGGGGGAGGCGCCGCGGGACGGGGGTGGGGCAGGGCTGGGTCAGTCTTCTAGGTCAGAGCACCCCCTGCAGCCCACGAGACCAGAGCCCCACGGCAGACGCACAGCGAGAGCGTCGGAAGGGAGGTGACCTGCCCACGCTCACGCCACGGGGCAGCGGCAGAGGACAGCACAGCTCACCTGATGCCCAGTCTAGGCCCCCAACCACTAGGCCACACTGCCATCCAAGGACACACCCCTATGGGAAGAGGCAGAGAGGAGGAGAACAGCCCCGTGCCGGGTGAATCCGAAGGCCCAGAAAGACCCTGGCGCACAAGGGGATGCGAATGCGCAAAGTTAAGCCATTCGCCCAGGGAGGGGGGAAACGGGAGAGACGGGGGGGATGACCCCGGCTGAGTACAGACCAACAGCAGCACGAGCATTTTCTACAGGGGTATGTTACAGGAGCCCCTGGGGACCACAACAGGCACCAGTAGCTACAGCCGGCGCCAGTCTCCAGCCGCTCCCCTTAGCCACTTGCATGGGCTGCCGAGACTTTCGGTCCAAGGCTACTGGCGTCAGCCGGTCACTCCTCCCGGAGCTCCGGTTCTACCCCATCTGCTCCCCACCCAGCCAAGCGGAGCCACTGCCGGGGGGCTGCAATTTAGGGACGCAAAAGAGCAGGTAATGAGTCGACTAACCGATAACCCGAGGCTTACCGGGTAGAGGAGTCAGCCGCTCGCATTCCCCCCTCCCCTTGCTGCCTCTAGATCAAAGGCAACTGGGGAGTTGGGGAGCAGGAGCCGGTGCTAGGGGGAGCCAGATAAAAGTCGATTCCCTCTGGTGCTGCTTCCCCCCCCACCCTGCGCTGCTGCCTCTATCCAAGATAGCAATGCGAGGGGGGGGGCCGTGGAGGCTGCTTCGGCAGCAGCCCCTGTCCGCGGGGGTCCCAACTCCCCGCTGGGACCCCCTGTGGACAGGGGATACTGGACCCTGCACATGCCGGGACTGAGCAAGCCCGGCTCAGCCCCAGCTCATGCTGGGTCCAGGAACGACCCCCGCTGCAGCTCTGTGGTTTAAATGTCGTAGCAGATGGGCTGCCTGCGTGCCGGGCTCTTCCTGCATTTAAACTGCAGAGTAGCTCCGGAGTAGCCGGGGTAGCCCCTTCTGAGCGCCTTCCCTTGTCGACTCATCGTTAGTCGATACAATTTGGGTCTAACACACAAGTACCCAGGTACCCGCCTCTTCACATCCTTACTGCAAGTCACTGCTGGGAAACCACGACTCCCGGGACCAAGGGGAGCAGCCCTCCTGGACGGTCTCTGCTCCCAGCCCTGCATCTGATGGACACGGATCTCCCCTCGCCCGGCCTCACGCTACCGTAGGCCCCGTCGACCCCAGGGGCCCTGCCCCAGCAGGGACTCGGCCCTGGGTTGTAACAGGCCTACGGAGTTGAAGGCAGAGCTCACCTTCCCCGGAGCCGACCTGGTTGGTGATGGCGTAGCGCAGGACCCGTTCCTCCTCGCTGTACAGCGCGAAGAGCCGGTCCACGCTCAGCAGCTGAACGGCGGGGGGGCGCCTGTGGTGCCGGGCGGGCGGGCAGTCCTGGAAGGTGACGTTCTGGTGGAGCTGGTAGGCAAAGGTCTGGTTGACACTCCCGGAGGTGAGGAAATACTGCCGGTAAGCAGAGGACGTCACGGCTGCAAAACACAAGCAGGCGGCTGCTTTGTGAACTGCATCAGGGAGCAAGGCCTCGTCGGGCCAGGCACGTGCCGAACATGGAGGCCCTGCTCCAAGGCCTAAAGCCACAGGTGGCCAGACTCAGGCGACGCGGGGGGGGAGAGGATGAAGAAAGGCGCAAACACCACTGTATTTTCAGACTGAGTCTGTGCATAGATGACCAGGCTACTTTCACTCACTGGAGGTGGCATGAGCCACCAGGCTCTGGTTCGTCCTCAGCGCTGCCACGCAGGAAATAGGGTGGCCACGTGTCTGGTCAGAGTTACAGACACCCAAAATCCAGTGACTGAGGGTGGCGGACGTAGGGAGGCCCTGGGTCATTACCCATGCCAGTCCCTGCTCCGCCGGGGCCTCTTCCTCCTGGATGAGGTGGCTGGAGACAGGGCCGGCCTTACCATGAGGAGAACTGAGGCAGGCGCCTCAGGTGCCAGACTGTGTGTGTGGGGGGGTGCCACTAGCACCCAGAGTGTGGAAAACTGTGTCTGCTGCTGTTAGGTCTCCTTTATTGGGGTGGGGAGCAGAGCAGCCATGAGAGGAGGAGGACAGGAAGGCTGCAGAACTGAGACCTTGCAAAGTTTTGGCCCAAGCGAAGGGACGTGGGGGCGTCATTTGAGCTCCCCGCCTCAGGTGCCAAAATGTTATGGGCCGGCCCTGGCTGGAGCTCCCAGCCCCAGCTCCGCAGAGTCCCTCCTGACCCAGGCAGGGGGAAGAAGGCAACAGCAGCAAGCAACACGGGGAGAAGAGAAAAGGAGTGAGTGGGAGGCGGGGCCTCTGGCGGGGCAGAGGCGGAAGAGCCATCACTCCTGCAGGAGTGACTATTGAATGAAGTCGGCAACCCTAGTAGGAAACCTAGTGATTTCACCATGAAGCAAGCATGCACTGACTCCTGCAGCCACCTTACAATGGCGGCCAGCCAACCTCAGGCTACAAAACCCAAGTGAGGGTCCAGATCTGAATTCCAACCCCCCAATATCCTGATCTTTTCAGTTCTTGCTGATCCCTTCAGAGAGGAAGGGACCATCGGCAAAAATCCAGGGAGGATTTTATCTGGGATTCGGATGCCATCTCTGCTCCCGTCCTTTTTAGCCAGCAGGACTTTATGAGGCACGGCGTCCCGGAAGTACACCAAGTCTGCCTGGAAAAGGGAGGTGACCCCCCCCGAAAAAGGAAGCACGAGCCCCACAAGCGAGCAGTTTCTCTGCAGATAATGGTAGAAATGTTAAAAAAGCCACTAACTACTTGGGGAAAAAATCCTGCCGCATTCCAGTGTATCATGGACAGACACACCTGGCAGGCTCACCGCATTTGCTCTGCAAAACACAAGCCACCGTAAATGAGATTCTGGGAACCTTCAACTCATACCTGAATGAGAATAGTGGTACAGTTCCTTGTAGGGAGCAATGTGGACAGTGAAGTTCTCTGGGATAAAAGGCAGCTGGCCCTCAATGTGCGTCGTAATGCTGAGGTAATTTTCTGGACCCAGGCCATCGGCTGTTTGAGTGATATGGACCTTCTCCTCCCCCGGGTAAAAGGTGACTTCCAAGTTGTGGGTGAATTTAGCACCTACAAAGGAAAGGGAAGAAAACCAAGCTCTGCTACAGCCATTTTCATAGATAAACTAATGATTCTGTTGCCCAGTTCACAGATTAGGTTTGAGACAAATAACCCAAGTGGAGATCTACCAGAGTGACACCAAAAAACACCAGTCAGTAAGAGCAGCCTTTTCTGAGGTTTTGGATTGAGGAGGCTGCTTTAAAGATCTGCATGTGCTAATACCGCACGCCACCTACCAAGCGGAGAACCGAGTCATGCACCTCTACACAGGGGAGACGCATCCGCATCGTTACCCCGCCCGGAACAGCCCACGCTGCTTGCCACTGGGATTCCAAGCCTGAACGTGCACTACGCTCTCAGGAGTACTGACCTGGCTGCTTGGCAGTAATGTTTTGGGGGCTGGGCCGACACTGGTGTAACGGGATCATGTGGAGATTCCGCATGGTGCTTTAGTGACGGAGTAGTGGGGGCTGGGAGCGTCCGGAGACAGCACTAGGCCCCAGTCCCCAGAGATACTGCAGTGCCTACCTCCCTACTGGTTCTGGCCTTAGTCTCCAGAGGGGAAAATGCCTCTTGCCCCAGTAATGAACCCGGTGGCCTTTTCAGGAGAGCTCCAAAGACCAGCCAGAGGACTGTATAAGGGGAGGAATGGGGGGTTGGGTGTGGGAGGCTGAAAGGCAGCAGGAGAGGCACAGGAGGGAAAATTTAAGGAACCAGGTAAGTGTAGGACAAAATAACCTGTTAATACACCTGCCACAGGGCGGTTTGCCCTTAAGAGCTGGCCCTGAAGAGGGAAGAAATTGTTAGTCGGGCACCGCAGAAGCACCCGTGGCCAGAAGGGGGCGCCGGGGGGGAGCTGACCCTTTCCCAATAACTCATTTCCTCCTTCAGCACAACCAACCCCATAACGGTGGAGAGTCAGAAGGCGAAAACGAGCCGGCGTTCCCGACGCTCACCCTCCGCAAGCGCCCCGGGCCTCAGCCCCTTC